GCCCCCGGCCCCGGCACCTGGCAGGCCCATGCTGTCGAGTGGCAAGCGGCCAGGGTCAGCCGTCCTGATTCCTGTGCACACGAGCCCTGCTCCACCATTGCTGCAGGGCTCTGCTCCTCTTCCTTGGGCTTTGCAAACATCCTGTCCCCAACGGGAAGCTTAGCTGAGCTGGAGGGAGGGGCTGGCTGTCCCGGCATTGGCACATCACCACAGGCCCATGCAACCGTGGGGCCCAGCACTGCCATGCCAGTGGCCTCCCTAGACACTGGCATGTCCCTCTCCCTGCTAGACCCGCTTGCCTGTTGGCCGGGAGAGCGGGGTTGGGGACGTGCTGACGTGTGGCTCCCGGTGTGTGCGCTGTCAGCGCTGCGCTGGCTCTGCCCAGTCCAACCAGAATCAGTTCAGGTGCAAAGGCACCTGGCCAGGTTTGCTGGCAAACAGAGCCCCGCAATAATCAGCGGAGGATTAGGTGTCTGTGCCCTCGACGGTGGCCTGGCTCGTTGGAGGGACCTTCCACTGCCACGAGGCCAGACCGAGGGCTAAGGCAAAACACCCACCCTTCATAGACACGCCTGGCACGTGCTCTGCTCCGTCCCTCCCCTCCTGCTGCCGGCCACGGCTCAGCCTGACGCTGGTCCCCTGGTTGCCGTGTGCTGGGCTGGACTGTCGTCACTTCTGCCCTGCGGCTCAGCAGTGCTGGCACCGTCTGTGTCCCGGGCTCGGAGCTGGAGCCAGACCTCGGCTTTGGCAGGCCCTGCCTGGGAGCGTGACTCTTCTGCCTTGGGTTCAGGCCCAGGCTTCGGGCTCGCGCTTTCCCTGCGTTGCCTGTCGGAGGCGACGTTGTCAAAGGTGCAGGTAGCTCCTCCGCCCCCCGCCGCGTTCTCCACCGCTCCGGGCTGGGCCCAGACACAGGCGGTTACGCTGCCAGCTCCTCCCAGCAGGAGGCAGACCAGCCCCGCCTCGGGGTCCGGGCGCGTGTTGGCCCTCGCGGAGCAGCTCCACTGCCGGCGGAGTGCAAGGCTCCCCGGGAGCTGGGTAGGAAGGTGGCCTCGGCTTTAGGCGTGGAGGGGCAAGTGCTCCCCAGGGAATACCATGCCCCCTGGGCGCTTCAGCACTTGCAGGGGAGAGGGGCTGCCAGTTAACACCGAATTTCTGGGACCAGTTAAAACACGGGCAAGCCCCTTCTTCCCTCCCGCCCCGGCTCCATGCTAAAGCCTTTGGACGCTTCTGCGCTCTCCAGGCTCTGGTGACAGCTGGGAGTGGGGGAGGCAGGTCTAGTAGGGAGAGGCCCTGCAACGTAAGCCTGGGGTGAGGCCTGGGCAAAAGGAGGCCAGACTGCTCCTGCGAAGCACAGTTGAGCAGTGAGCAAGAGGCAGGCGCAGCTCATGGAATCGGGCACGAACGGGGCTGCTGATGCAGAAACCTGCAAACCTGAGGTGCAAGGCACAACCTGCGAAGCACAGTTGAGCAGTGAGCAAGAGGCAGGCGCAGCTCATGGAATCGGGCACGAACGGGGCTGCTGATGCAGAAACCTGCAAACCTGAGGTGCAAGGCACAAGCGTCCCAGGGCACCCGACACCCTGGCCTGTGGCTCCGTCGGCTCTAGCCCCCC